ACAAATTGAACCATGAAAATAATATCTTTTATATTTGGTGACTCGTTGGCTTTCACCATTAGAAATCCTAATAATCTCCAGCCTTTTATTTTCTTCTGTATCAGTTTACTCTGTTATTATTATGGTATGTAATCCATCCAATTCCTAATCCATACTTGAGGTCATGTGAACATTTAAATTCCATTGCGGCACATTGTTGGAAAATATTCATGTTTTATATTTGTAAAAAAACAACTCTTTTAAAGCCAGTGCAGTTTGCTTCTGAATGTCAAAGGTTTAGGTTGTATGACTTAATGCCTTTTTGCTGAGGTCTAACTTGATAACTATCATCCTCATGCTTAAAATTTGAGAACATATCAGTCATTGCATTTTGCTGAACACAACTATCATCTAACACGTTAGCATGTAGTTTTATGGTTTGGATTTGGCTTCAGTCTGTTGTCATGACCAGTTAGATATTTTTTGCCAGTGATTTCATCTGTGAGGATATTAGACACCCATTAGAGCGTCTGGTAGCTGGGAGGGGGAGGAAAATGAGGTGTTGGAAAAGATGTACAGCCTGTCAAGTGAGAGCAAATTTGCAGCGAGGTTGATCTCCCAATGAATTATTAACAGACACCGTAAATAATCAGTGCAGACAGGTAGGGACCTAGGCTACCTAATGAAGTGTCAGGTGATGTTATGTCCCAGAGGTCATCCTCTTTAAAATAGAAGCTTTAGGTAATGTCATTGTTTCATTTGCATACATGTAGGATTAAACACTATTGCAGCTTCTGTTGCAAACTATTTAAAGAAAGAGAAGAAAAATAAAAAGTTAAATGACTCTTTTCCTTTTTCCACTTTGCAATTATCAAGACTACTTGGTAAACTTGATCAATGCTGCTGCCCCTTTGTGGTCATAGGAGAGTTCTGTTGCTGTTGTTTTCTGTCAGGTGGTTTTGTTTTGTTTGGTATTTTTGTGGCTTAAAAATAAATACTTAATGAATACATTATATAAAAAAACGAATACTTAATGAATACAATATCTAAAGTATTCTCCAAGTGGAATTTCCAACATTCACACTATACTATATTTGTCGCAATGGGATGTTGTGACTCAAACTTTTTACAAATTACCCAACAGTTGAGTATTTGTAAAAAAGTTGTTGTTTTTTTTTAAGTCAAAGCATACTGTATTTAGAAAATAAAGGAATACAACAGACTACATGTGTTATTTGGAAAAAGAAATAGTACGGGGCTCCAAAATTGTGTCTAGAATGAAAATATGGAGGGAGGGTTTAATGCAGAATGTATATGGACTGTTAAACAAACCACCAGTATTGTTTATTTTTTAATTCCTTCATTATCAGGAAAGACACTCACAGTTGGATAATAAAACCAGTAAGTTGCCATGTCTTTCTATAATAACAACAGAATCCGCTATGCAAGATCTTAAAAACAAGCTTGATCCTGAACAATAACGATAACAGTTGCTATAAGGCAATTTGTAAAAAAATCCGACTTTATTACTCACCTCAGATGTACAATCAATAAATCATGAAACATTTATTTTACAAGTCACTTAATCTGTTGATTTTTTTTTTTCTTCGATGAATTGGTTAATA